TTCAATAGCAAAGCCATCATGATCTGAAAAGACTTGCATTCCCAAAGATCCTACCAGATAGCATTACTGTGATGAGAAGTCAGTACCCAATATTTTGTCTTTTCGTCAATAACCTTTACAGACAGATAAAGGTCTATATCGTTGGAATACCAACTGCATGTTAGGTAAGCAGTATTAGAAAAAGACAATATAATAAACAAGATTTTAGCTTCTTTTTTCTTTCTTGGTACGGTATAATATCAAATCCTCCTTACCAAACATGCTACAAGCATATGCAGCGGAGTCAGCAAAATTACAGAAATGTTGCAAAGTGTAAAACAAAGGACAATCACACTCATGTACAAAAGCAATTCAAATTAAAACGAAAAATGAGTATTGAAGATATAGTTTGACTTTGTATAAAATTGTAGTTTATTGGATAGGATTTTATCATTTAATAGTTGTTACTTTACTAGAAGTTGTTTTATAAATTAAAACGAAAAATGAGTATTGAAGATATAGTTTGACTTTGTATAAAATTGTAGTTTATTGGATAGGATTTTATCATTTAATTGTTGTTACTTTACTAGAAGTTGTTTTATATTTAAGCTCAAGACTTTATAAACAGGACAAAACTTATTATAATTTATAAACTGGTAACTTTATTTTTACCTACACAACCCACAATTTTTACCCACTTTGTAACCGCAAATTCTATGGAACCCACTGCTTTTAAACAATTATAAGCTTTGACAAACATGCACTACATTTGCAACTGGACTTCGACCGATGATAAAAAATTGATATTCTTCCCCCTAAATTTTCACTTTCTCTTCCCTATTTCTATTTGTGTTAGGCTTCATAAAAAACTAAAGCAAGCCTGTCTAGTTATGGAAAACCCATTCAGCAAAAACTAAGACATCAAAAGGCCAAATAAATAGAATTGCTGATAGAAATTCCAGAAATTTGTTTCCAAGTACATGATCCTGCATCAAATAACCCAATTCATTTTATTAAATACAAAAGAAGCAAATAATTTAGGGAACTAATTACTTGCCAACATGAAAATGAATTCTTGGAGTGGGAAACAAGACTTCTTCATTTCTAAAAGAGAACTCCTGCTTTCTTCAAAACGATCCAAGAAGAATTAAAGATAGTTACACCAGAAATGAAGTAAAACATTTCCAGCCAGGGTGTTCACATAGGTTGAAAAGTTTAATCTATTGTTGTTGTTCTTATATCCATAAGACAGAACTTAACTGACGTATACTCAACGTAGAAGTTCCACCTTCAATTATGAGTATAATAGCAACCTCGCCCTTGAAATTCGGTGATAAAGACCAATACACATTTGACTGAATTCACTTGGAACATATAATTTTACCTTCAAATCATTAGAAAATAAGCTTACAAATCAGTACATGTCCTTGCACTTTTTGGCAATCAAACCCGCACCCATATCAGTAAGTCTCACACATCAGTTCAAGCAAATAAGCTTACAAATGTTCAGAGATACTCAACAGCCAACAATCCCAAAAAGGACTCAACATCTCAAGTATTTCCCCCCATTAACCTGCCGCATTGAAAATATATTTCAGCCTTGAATATATGAACGTGATAGTAATCATCCACAAAACATTTTCAGGGAGGGGTAAGTTTTGCTATGTTAATACATACTGTGACCATCCAAATTACCCTATTTTTGTAGGACACAACCCTAAACAAAACAAGATTCTTGGTAAAAATAGGACCAGTGAACATCAGAATTACATTACCCTATCTATAAAACGAACAAACTTTATAATACAAATCCAGCTACTCACATATAGACATTTCTATATATGTACAAGTAATTAACTTCTTAGTAAATTCATCTGTTATCATCAGTTTATACAGATATGTTTCCAACTAGGTAATTCAATTAACATCAATTTCATCAACACGTGTCAAAAATGCCAAAAATGGCAGATCATGATACAATTAGCAAACAACCTATGAAATGATATCCAAAAAACAGCCTGTAGATACACAATACACACACAAACCAAAAAATAACTTGGTGACAACCAATTTCGTTCAAAAACACATAAATGCATAAAAGAAATACAATTTCTCCAAAATTCCAACTGAACAGAAACCAAAAGTGTGTATAAAGTATCACTATCCCATTAGGTTGACGTAAGGTGAATATTCAGCTCAATGAAGAGCTCATACATCTGCTTCAAGGTAGAGGTCCCCATAGCATAGCTTATATGGTGACACATTTTTGTTTGTAGGGAGGGTGAGCTTGAGCCCACCCAAGCCTGTTTGCATCCCTGATCTCTCTCCGTCCACATCATCGTCATCATCATCATCAATAATTACTTGTGACAAGTATAAAGATATCAATGATTCAAGGCACTAAATGTGAAAAACCTGAAGATTATTCTCTAAAGCAAATTGGATCTGTTGAGGCAAAATTGGTTATAAAACATCGGAGAGATGCTAAAATTCAGTCATAAATTCAAATGAGTTGGACAATTCGAAGAAGCTTCTGGATGTTTTAATAGATTTTATTAACGACGAGCTCTGTGATAGTCGATATGAAAAAGGATTGGCTCAATAAACTTGTTTCAAGCTGCTTGTGTACTTATCCTTAGTTTTCTGCTCAGAATCCTGGCTGTTCTTGTGTTTCTGCTCTTCAATTCTGGAGCAGGCAGCCTTGTTAATGGAAGTTCGCCAACTAGTTGCAGTAAGAGTCTTCTAGCACTTCAGACTTACCTCTTTTCGTCTATCCGACTGCAGTTGAAATTTGTATCTGTACTCGGGTCCATCTTAACTCTACATATAAATTTTTGATATGCATGACAAAAATTATGTTAAAAATGAATGGTTCTCGAACATTATCATATAGATTTTGAATTTTTCCTGATTTCTTAGTTTGAAGATGCTGGAAGGAGTTATTATCCTAGAGCTTTGTGAATTGTGGATGAAAAATTAATTTATCTTTACTAAGACCAAGCTTAAGAAGGAAAATAAGTTGATATGCTGAGTCTGAAAATAAAAAAATTTAGATACATCTGCTAAGAATCATAATTGAAAATTAACATTTCAGGCTCATTCAATAGTACATTGAAGCATTTTATAAATCCATAGGACCACGTAATAAATTTCAAAGACAGAGAACGGAAACCGGGAATCCCAGTAAATAATGTGCTTCAGCAACACCACATGAAGGATCAAGGCAAAAAAAAAAATTAAGTGGATGGTAATACAGATGACATAATCGTATGATATGATAACATTATAAATGATTCATCGACAAACAAATTTTACAAGGAAACAGTGCGTCTATAAAGTATTTCATCATCGCTCTCATACTCCTCTTCTGATACAATCTCACTCCCAGGAAGCTCCAACTTGCCACCCATAATAAATGTTGGACCAAAACTCTCTGCCTCAATATATTCACCTTTCAATCTCTCTTCAAATCTCAGATCGCTACAATTGAGGAACCATGCGAGAGAACATCTAATCCCCTTGCTTTGTAACCTTTGGTACCTTGGTTTAATCCTTAGCTCCAAGCTATAAGTAAAGTACTCGGGGAACTCTACAAGCTCTTTCGCTGGTCTGCCCATTTCACTCTTGAAATAGTAATAACTGTTTTTCATGAGCCCAACTTGCAGAGAAAGTAATTGGGGACACTTAACGACCATTTTTGCCACATCATTAGCGGGAATACCCCGACCAAGAAAGAAGTCAACAGGTTTCATAATCACATTTTGGTTGAGGCTAACAATCTGTGGCATCTTTTCAATCACACGAGCAAATCCATCGGGATCAATCTTGAGCTTCAAGTTGAAAAAGAATTGTTGCGATGACAATTTAGCCTTCAAAGGCAATCCAAGAATTTGTGGATACTGTGCAATAACAGAAGCAAGCGCTTCTTTGCTAATCCCAAAACTCATCAAACAATCAACATTTGGTTTCACGGTTTCTTCAAGATCATATCCAAGTATATATGCCCGCTTCTCAAACATCCTTGCCAATATATTTTTCGGCAAACCCAATGAGACCAAATAATCCACGAGTGGCTTAATCATAGTACCAACCCTCATTCCCAAGAAATACGGATATTGTGTTGCCATTGGGCCTATATCCCTTGGGTTTACCCCTATACTAACTAAATATGCTACAGAAGTACTCATTGTCCCCTCTAGCTTAAACCCTAATAACTCTGGATATTTCATCAAAACATACCCAATATCTTGCTTCTCGATATCAAGTCCCCGTAAAAACTTAACAACAGGTACAAGCTCCACCACCACACTCGCTTGAAGGCACTGTGGATAATTCTTCAAAAACTCACCCATCCTCGCTCTCGGGATCCCAATCTTCTCTAAGTAGCCTAACACTGGGATCATATTTTTACGTACACTACAGCCAAGCATTAGTGGGTACTCATTAATGTCATCGATGGTGAGTCCTAGTTTCTGCAAAAACTCGACACGTTCACGCATTACTTCAACCGTTGATGGCAATTCAAGGTCCTCTAGTTCATCAGTGAGTATACCTATCGTTTTCAAATAGTCACAAATAATGACCCTGGACACGAGCTTTTCCTTTCGGCCTTGGATTACACCCCATGTAACAGAAGGCATCTCATATTCAGGGAATTTTGATGACGGGGTCGAAAAGTCTCTTTGCAGTAAGTGTTGAAAATATTGAACTTGAGGGTTTTGGAAAGGTTTAAGAACTGGAAAAGAAAACGATCTTTTCGAGGTTTTGAGTAAAATAGGCCGTAAAGATTGGATTTTTCTTAACAGAGAGTTCATTTTTGTCAAATTTATGGAAAATGGTTATCAAAAATTGACTGCCGATTGATGGAAGTTTAAGTGCTAAAATTATATTTCAGCATCTGTATCTACATCCATGTATATAATACGAACCAAAATCCGAGATTTATTAAATTTCAGTGAAAGAGAATTACACTTACGTGAAGAAATATGGGATTCCGGCGCCACGCTCTGAAAAACCGAAGTTCTGCCGATATAGGGACAAAAGGGGAAGGGTTGAACGGTGACCGCATACACGAATTGAAGTTTGGGTGGAGTAAATGGGTTTGTGGAATACTTGAAGCAGAGCTGAAATTATGATTTTTGTAATTCTGCGGCTTCTGCCGATAGAGGAACGGAGAGGAAGGGTTGAACAGACCGGGTATAGAAAACTACCCCTAAAATTAACTAAAACCCTTTCACCGTAAATAATACGCAACATACCTCCCAAACCTTAGAAACCTCAAATCAGAAGCCATAGTTTCGGAAATAAAATCACGGTATTTAGGGAAATACAAACACCCGTTTCTGATTCAACCAAGGTCCCTAAATCGAAACTGGGAAAAATTGCTGTAGATGCTGTTGATGTGCACCAAATAACTGCTGGTACGGTATTGGAACCAATGGAGAAGCCACCTGCTGACTTAGATGTCACGCTTGACGGAGTGTCCTCCTTCTACATGCCAGGAGCCGAGGCACCTTCTTTTGACAATAATTGTGTGTTTGACATGGATGGTGATGGTTCCAACCGTGGACAGTAAATGGGCTTGTGGAATCCTTGAAACGGGTGTGTGAGCCCAGGCGATACCCAGCCCAAATTAAGATTTTTGTCCTAGTCCCACATCGACATTTACACTTAAAAATTATCATTTTATAATATCTAGTTTCAAGCGTTACCTAGTGTGTTCATGAAAAGGAGAGATGGTTGGCATCTCCCCCGACAGGGATGGGAACAGTCTTTGGGCTTTACCTGCTATGTACACATCCGGTTAAGGCAACCCACTTTGGTGGATTACTAACCCAAATTTTTTTTTTTATTCATCGTCCTAGCAGGGGCGGGAACAAAAAAAAAGTCCTAGAGCAATTCATGAACCGCTGAGACTAGTTTCATCCACATCCGATTCACGAGGGATAAATTGAGGGCATGTTTGATATAACTTTTGTAAAAAGTGAATTTATGGAGAATTCTTAATTAAAAAGTGGGAAAAGTATGGTCACCATGGAAATTATTTTTATTTAAAGAATGTGTCGTTGAAAATGAAGTTGAAATAACTTATTAAAAAAAATTGTAATTGTATCGAACATGACAGGATGTCCTCTAGAAGAGGCGTTTAAGTAAAATTGTCGGCTATGGACAAATTACACCCTGATATATAGTCTACATTTTCTTTTAACACAACTTAATGCTTGTTTGGTAAAGCTTTTAAAAAAATTTATCAATTTTTCAGTTCGTCAGAGTGTAACTTTAGTACATATTTCATAGGATTCACGACTTTCAATAATTTTTCAACCATACATTACATCAACTTTTATCAAAATCTATTAAAATTTTAGCAAAATCCTTGTCGAACGGTTCCTAGTCTTTTGCAAGTTCCAACCGTGGACAGTAAATGGGTTTGTGGAATCCTTGAAACGGGTGTGTGAGCCCAGGCGAGACCCAGCCCAAATTAAGATTTTTGTCCTAATCCCACATCGAAATTTACACTTAAAAATTATCATTTTATAAAATCTAGTTTCAACCATTAACTAGCGTGTTCATAGGAAGGAGAGATGGTTGGCATCTCCCCCGACAGGGATGGGAACAGCCTTCGGGCTTTACCTGTTATCTACACATCCGGTTAAGGCTACCCACCTCGGTGGATCACTAACCCAACTTTTTTTTTTTTTATTCATCGTCCCTAGCGGGGGCAGGAACCAAGAAAAAAAGAAAAAAAACGAGGCAAAAGCAAGTCCTAGAGCAATTCATGAACCACCGAGACAAGTTTCATCCACATCCGATTCTCAAGGATAAATTGAGGGCATGTTTGATATAAATTTTGTAAAAAGTGAATTTTTGGAGAATTCTTAATTAAAAAGTGGGAAAAGTATGGTCACCATGGAAAATATTTTTATTTAAAGAATGTGTCGTTGAAAATGAAGTTGAAATAATTTATTAAAAAAATTGTACCGATCATAGTCTACATTTTCTTTTAACACAACTTAATGCTTGTTTGGTAAAGCTTTTAAAAATTTTTATCAATTTTTCAGTTCGTCAAAGTGTAACTTTAGTACATATTTCATAGGATTCACGACTTTCAATAATTTTTCAACCATACATTACATCAACTTTTATCAAAATTTATTAAAATTTTAGCAAAATCTCGTCGAACGGTTCCTAGTCTTTTGCAAGAAGTTTGTAAATTTTACTTTTGACTCAAATTTATAAGCTCATTCTAATCATTGTATCATTTGCAGTCTACTTAAGCTCCATCTAAAACAAAAATAATTGCAGCATCTTAGCAAAGATAAATCCACAACTCTTGGATTCGTAAACATAAGTACTTACTTTCTTCCTTCTTTCTTATTCTATGTACAGACAATTTCCTATATAATACAAGGAGGATCCTGAAAAGAAAATTAAGGTTCAAGAGGAGGAATAGCCTCGAACGAGTGCCTCCTAATAGAATGTTTATTTGTAAACCAAAGGGATAAGAAAAGAACACGGTGAATTCTTCTCCCGTCTACACATTTGAAGTTCTGGAAACACGTTTTATTCTTCCTAAACAGTTATCCTTTGGCCTGGAATGCGGTAAGTACATTAATGGACATGCAGGATTACAACGTTCGAGCCTGCAAAAAGGACTTGTGATTAGATGCTGAACATTATTCCGACCTTGCATTTTTTCTCTTCGAATGAGACTAATAGGGGTATGTAATCAAGATGGAAATAGCTGTGAAATCTTGATATCTCACTAGTAATTAAGTAGGAAATAGTGAAGAAAAATAGCAATTTCGAGCTTGGCAAGATCATTTCCGGGGCACAATCTGCTTCCACCTCCGAAAGGAAGGAAATTTCCTGCTTTGGGTGTAAAGACCTAAAGATATAATCAAACATCAGGTAGTGCAAATTAGTAGTAGCACTCGAGAAATATACGGTCGCCTGCATTTAGGAAATGGTTCGAGACTTACATCCCATCTAGAAGGATCAAACTTCTTTGGGTCGACGTATGTTTGAGGGTCCAAGTGAACACTCCTAAACCAGATCAAAACTTTCCACCCCTGAGGAATGGTGTATCCTGAGAGAGAAAGAGAGAAAAAAAAAGCACTAATTAATCAGAACTTCTTCTCTGAAAATTAATCTTTACTTTGCATAAGTTTTCTGAATTCTAGGAGTTTTAGCTCATTTCCAATCTGATTTTCATTAGATCAAATTATTTTGTAGTCAGCTCGAAGAAATTGAATGTCGAACGAAATTGTCTGAAATGAGTCATACTAGGAATATTCAAGGAAGGATTATAGCTTAATTACCACAAATATCGACATCTTTCTTTGCCTTTCGATTACCTGCGAAATTTTGATGAGGATATTGTGCTTCAAACATGCCAATATTAACTAGCATAAAGCTGTATGTCGATGAAAACTAAAAATTTTACACACCTTACCAAGATATACCATCTGCCTTATTTCTTTAAGGGTCAGACCCTTCTGATCAGGTGGCATTTTTCTTATAATTTCCTCTTTTTCTGCCTGATTTTCATCCATGATAATAGTAAGAAAACTACATTAAAAATTTAGAAACATAACCAATATCTGCAATATCCTTGTTGATTTAGCAGAACTTTCAACTGTTACAGTCATAATATGGAGGACTTGATGGAACTGATGTCGTATACCTTAGCTCTTTTGAAGATATCAGGATGCTTCTGTAGAAAACGGGTGGCCCACATAGTGATGTGACCAGAAGATTCATGGCCTGCAGCATTTAGGTACATTACCAAAATATCGATGATTTCATCGTCGTTTAATCTCCTACCGTTCTCATCTTCCACATCCATGAGAGCATCCATCATGTCTTTTTTATCTGCAGATTGATTATTCCTTCTCTGTTCCCGTCATTGGTCTATTACGGGTTGTAGAGTAGCGACAAGTTTTTTACGTGCCTGAAATGGAACAATAGCTTGTTTAAGCATCTATAATTTCCAAGAAGCATAATTTGCATTAAACAAAAAATAAATTTTCTTAAACTTTAACCTCAACTTCGTTCGATGTCTTTTTTAATATCATACCATCTTGAATTCGTAGTTGAATGAGAAAACCCAGACCTCACCTTAAGTGCCTTATGATAGGCAAATCCAGGAATATTGATTGCCATGGCTCGAATGCCATAATTTAGGTCGGTATACTCCCTCTCCAAGGACTCCATTACCGGCTCACTCTCTGAGCTCAAGAAAATGTACATAATTATCCTGAATGTAAGCTTTCGAAGCTCGGTTAAGAATTCTATCTGTCCCACGTTTGACCATTTATCCAAAGCTGTTATTACATTGTCTTCGATTTATCTCGTGTAAATAGCTGGTGACTCGTGTCCATTCACGGGGGATGCTGTTAATTTGCGAAGCCGCCTGTGATCTTTGTCGGAAATGCCGAGAAATGAATTCTTCCCAATGAGATTCAATGTGGAAGAAGGCCAACCTGGTTTGAAGGCCTCATCATCTGTTAAAATTCTCCGGCATGCCTCGGGCGAGGTAATGATAATACTAGGACTCCCAAACATGTGCACCTTGTGTAGTCCAGTATGTCCAAATCTGCAAAAATTGTGCATTGTTGTTATCAGAATTGGGGATAATCAGTGACTTGGAATGGGATTGAAAGTGAAAGTTGAACCCTATTCTATCTTCTTTGATACTGTCAAAATCCACAATACCAAACAAGAAGTTACTGTTAAAATTTGGAGTTCCATCTTAAAATGTCGATCTTATTAAGAGGAGTAGTCCAAACTCTTATAAATTGGTCTATGTTTTCATCTTTATTCGATGTGAAATTTCATTCCTTAACATACCCCCACAATATGGTGACTCTTTGAGCAGGCCAATTTTGAAATCCGTGTACTCACTTTTTGAGTCTTAATTTGGATCGAATTGATCTTTAGAGTTTAATGGGCTCTGATATCATATTAAGACTTGAATTTATCTTAAAAAGTTAACCTTATTAAAAGGAGTAGCCCAAATTTTTATAAGTTGATCTATATTTTCATCTCTATTCAATGTGAGATTTTATCCTTTAATATGCTTCCGTGTTCACGAAATATCTTTGAATTAAAACTACCGCAAGTGTACGATTCGTTAACAAGTAATGGATTGGGTTTTGAGTCCAAGTATCGTCTCACGGAAATTGATTTAGTTCAATTTTAATTATCGCAACTTTAACCGAAATATGAATAATATGGTGTGTTTGTTTGTGACAAAATTATGACTAAAATAATCTACTTATGCAATTATGAGTAAATTAACTAAACTACATGCAAATTATGCTAAATGCGAATTGATGTGTTTAATAAATGACAAATGCACCAGGATCTCGAATTCCCATGAAACAATCATTTTTAACATTAGTTCTACATTTTGACAATATGATTCAATTTTGAAGAATCAATGTTCATGTTTTATTTAACAGTCTCTCTCGAGTAATGTTAAATCTGCTCTCATATATGATTGGATTATATTTCTACGACGGATGCGAACATACAAGAGTACGTGAATTTTTATGAACACTTAAAAATTCACATAGAGGATAGTGATATATTTCTATTCTATATCGGACCCTATGACAATTTACACCATGTCGAACATATTTTTCTTCCTTCTAATACATAAAATAAGCCACCAAATTCATACAATTACCGTGCACAATAATCGTAGAGAAAAGATAATCATATAAATCATTCAAAATCCAAAAACTTGTTTTTAATGTTAAATATGTAAAACTAACTATTAAAAAATTCATATCACAAAGTTCATCGTTCTCGTAGCACAAATAAATCTAGCATAATATGTTATGAAGAAGAAAACAAAAGAAATAGCAGTTGTTCATTACCCGAAAATTCTTGAATTCAATCTTGAAGTTCTTGAAATTGAATCTTGACATGTTCTTTACTTCCTTTTACAATTAATTCTCCACCTTTTATTATGTTTTGAAAGTTGATATTTATGATCCCTTTAAAGAGTCTCAAAAGATCTCCAAAAATCGTGCATATCATGGCTCAAAAGGAAATTTCCTTGTTGGAATTGAATTCTGAAGGAAACAGAATTTTCTAACCGAATTTTCCTGGGCGAGCGCCCAGTAGTAAACCCAATGACTACCCAGGCATACTAAGTAGCCATCGTAATTAAGGTTTAAGGGTCAGGTATAACTGGGCGGCTGCCCAATTATAAAAAAAACAATTAGCAAGCCTAAAGCAAAAGCATAAAGATAATTCTTACCAAAATTTCTTAGCCAACTCCAATTTGTGGTTAGATAAGGCTCCAACAGTTTCACCAAAACAAGTTAACAACCTTTACCCTAATAACAAGAATTGAATAAACAATTTCCTTAACAGTTTCTTTCCTTTATATGCATGTATAAAATACTTCTACACTATAACTGTTCAAACAAATGAAAAATCTTGACAATATTTCACATTTTCACTTCCTATGCAACAATTCCAAGTCCAACCACATTATTCACACACAAAAGTAACAAAAACCTTACATAATAGATCAAAAATTCACAAGAAGTTCATGCCCAAATACTAATGCGGCTTTCGTCACACTCTTCTCACTAAAAAGCACAATGTAATAGACACATTATAATGCCAACGTCCCAGAGGAAAGGAGGAGCAACAGATAACATTGAATCAACATAGAAATTTTTAAATCCTTCGAGAACTGAAGAAATAGAAAAACTTATATCATGAAGAAATATGGAATAGAAGAAAAAAACTCTTTTCTGATGATTTATTACCAGAAAGGCAAAGGCCTTATATAGTGAAGCTTGACAACAAATCTGTCAAGGATTCTCCATAATTATAGAAATTAACAATCCCTTAATTTAAGGAATAAATCACAGAATTAAAGACTAGAGAGATTATAGGAAACAACCTTCCTTATCCCTTTATTTTAAAAACAACCTAATAGGAAATAAATCCCTACGAAATAGGAAACAAGAAA